GAGATTATCCCATCAATACCAACCTAGCGCCAATGCCGGCACACCAACCTAGAACTGAGCCACTCAGTGCCAACTTAGCCCCAATGCCGGCACACCAACCTAGAACCACCCAGCGCTAGCCTATCCCTATAATTCAGGCACACCAACCTAGAACTGAGCCACCCAACGTCAACCTAGCACCTATTGGGTGGGTTTGGGGTTAGCGTTAGGTTAGCATTAGGGATTTAGCCCGTTTCATGTAAATTGCTGGTTGGAGGGACAGGAAACCGCACCTGCTTAGTTAGTCAAAGTAGCGACAGGCGTGGAAGAAACAAGAAACAAACGCACATGTTAGTGACGCTCGTTCCGTAACCAGGATGTCCGTCCGTAACAAAGGTGTGGGTGCATGGCTTACATGCGTTCCTGTGGGTGCATAAATTATGTTGGAGTCGAGATCTCTGGCTGGATGAAGCCAAACTCTCTGCTACTAGCTACTAGATTAGAGACTACATGTTGCTGCGCGTGCAGATTCCGCGGGTAAAATCCAGAGGCCCCAACCTCATGGAAGCTTCTCCACCGCCCCCCCGCCCCCCCATGAGGGAGAGAAATGTTGTTGGAATAATGAGGGGACGGGTCGGTGAATTTATGTTTTATAGGCTCGGGTGAGCAAGCCGTAGCGGCTTGCGCCCTCGAAATCACCACTGATGGAACTCAATCGTTGCCCAAGAGAGAAACGCACGAAGTTCCGGAACAAACGAGAGCAGCAGCGAACACAGGCACGTCGTTGTTTAAATCGCTCGCGCGGTTGCGTGAGGAGCGTAGGTTCAAAAGAGCTAGACTACATTTTCTCGTTCCTGGAGTATGTTGAACCTTCACTACACACAACAGTTCGCATGCCGACTCCCGATTGGCAGTCGAAACGACAGGGGAGAAACTGGCGGACAATGAAAGAGGCACACACGCACACGGGCCGGGTACGATTAGTGCGTCAGCATGAAACTGCGTAAACGGGTCTGATTGGCATCCTGCTTATTTCAGTGTTTACCGCTTCGTCATACCGTCGTCTGGAAGAAGTGTGTGTGGTAGACCATGTCTTTGTCCCACAGGAATGTTGCCCTTCTCATCATCCCCACATGACAGGAGTACAATATCAAGGTAATACAAGGTTTCCCCTCGGGAAGTCGGTTTCCGGCCTATGGGGTGTAACGCGACATACGCAGGATTGGACGCATCATGTGATCAATTTTCACCTGCTGATGTCTTTGGGCGGGGCACACGATTGAAAGGAGCACGCAGGCGTGTTTTCGCCTACCATCTCCTCCTTTCGTTTCTTCGGAACCCATCCGCAGCACAAAGTTCACGAAACAGTGAAGTAGTACGAAGTACAAAGTTCATGTACTTCGAAGTACATACAGTATATTCTCGGCGCCCAAGACAGAGTCTGGTGGGTGGGCGAACAAACTCCAGTCTCACAATTACCTCCTAAATCGCAGTCTCATTTTCTCATGGCCGATTTTCTCTCAGCCCTTGAAGCTACAGTCGCGCAGTGATACTTGGGGGAAGTTGCTCTGCGTGGAGTCCTCCTTTCGCAGCCTCAGGGTTGGCACACATCGAGAGAAGAACTGCCATGCGTAATGCATACACAAGGGAGACAAATGGCACCGGCAAACTTAAGATCTATCAAGAGTTGACTTCGCGCGAAACTCTTGCCTGCGGACCCAGGCGCCTTGAGTAATAGGGCGATACTTTCTCAGAGCACTCTTGGGGCGATTCCGAACCCACTCTCCGAAAGAATCTATCGGCAAACTCTGCTCGCTGCCTTCCTTTCCTCCACAACTTTCCATATTCTTGGGCGTGTCTGGGGCGTCCCCGGTTCTCCGGTCAGGCTCAGGCGTGCGGATCGCTAAATGTGTTGCCCCAAGAGGGTGNTTGGGGCGATTCCGAACCCACTCTCCGAAAGAATCTATCGGCAAACTCTGCTCGCTGCCTTCCTTTCCTCCACAACTTTCCATATTCTTGGGCGTGTCTGGGGCGTCCCCGGTTCTCCGGTCAGGCTCAGGCGTGCGGATCGCTAAATGTGTTGCCCCAAGAGGGTGTATCCTGACAAGGTCGTCGTGGGCCTTGGCGATAGAGTGGGCCGCGGGTGGGGGTGGGGGGGGGCTTCAGAATGCACAGGTCGTTCACTCATCGACGCAGACCTTCAAAAACACATGCCCACACCGATCATGCGATTGTGGCACATGCCCGAGGAAAGCGTCGTTCTACTCGGCTAGCTAGACTGATTCAACCGAGACACAGAAATGGAGGGTTTGTTGTGCCCCCTAACGGTTGCCCGAATAGAGAGTAAAGGTTGCCAGAAATGACCATGCCGATTTGGTACGATCGCAACAACCTACAGCACCCCCAACACAGTCACAAGACTCGAGGGACCCAAGAGAACTCGACAAAATAAAAGGCAAAGGAAATGCCGAAGATTTCCAAGCCAAAAACACTGAATAGGACGCAATATGGAACAAACAACGCACAAATGCACGACTGCATTCCCTACCACAGCGTATGCTCGAAATCACTTTAACCTGGCAAGCAGATCTGAAACATGTCAAGCAGTTCAAAATTGCGAGAAAAGTTTACTTGTACGTGATTCGTATGGGCCGATTGCTTATAAACTTTTGTGTGCCCGTGGGCATATATCTTGTACCGCTACACTCCTGCACAGATGTAGGCCCATAAGACCCAAACATGGACAACGACAAGCGATGGATGACAAGCGACGGATGATCGCAAAACTTCCCAAATGAACTGGTACCGTTTTAAGATCCGCGCCACAGGGCTCTTCGAAAAAATCATTCAATCCTCCGATCCTCCTGATCTCCCCCCTCGGTGTTCGCCATCGGCATTGGGTTTTACTCGCTGGCAACGACGTTACAAAACAAGCCATCACTTAGTGAATTCGGCAACCAGGTTTCAGCTTTATTTTTTGCCTCTTTGTTTCCTGTTTCGCAGTATACATTATGGTGGTCGTGTAGATTACGTTGTGCAGGGTCGAGAACCCTCACTCCTCGCAAAGGGGATGATCGCACCACGGTGAGTGAAATTGGTCAAGCACCCTCGAGGCAGTTACACAGTGCTTACAACTGTCTCTGGAAGTGAAAGCACCAGAAAATAAATTAAGTCATACGCAGCTGTCATCCGTACGCAAGGAAGTAAGCACAAGATGCCGAACACCCGTAGCAGGATGCAGCGCACCCTTCATGCGACTCGCCGAATATCTCACGGCGCTTCGCGCTTGGTGATGTGAGAGCCTGGTCCGGTGAGAACCCGGCGTGCTCCGTCCGGGCTTTGTAGGGATGCGAGGTCATGGTCAAACGACTACGGCATACACGACTATGAGTACACCCCCCCCCTCCCGATTCAACCCCCCCGGTGTTTACCATCGGGGTTGGGTTTTCGTCGCTTGGCAACGACGTTGTAAAACAAGCCGCCGCCCCCGGTGTTTGCCATCGGGGTTGGGTTTTCGTCGCTTGGCAACGACGTTGTAAAACAAGCCGCC